CTTGGTCACAGTTTCACCACTCCAGTGTCAGTGTTTGGCTGAGCACTGATGGTGAGTAAGAATTGTGCATTTCAGAGAGCGACTCCACAGCAACCAGTCTTTATTATTTCTTTATACCAAGAAAAAAAGGGCATTTTCTCCTGCACTGGCCTTCTGCAGCCCCAGCCTTGAATTTTCCTTGTCACCTTCTCAGCTATGTCTAGACATAACATTTTGGAAGACTTTGGAAGCACGAGATCTTAATCTCCCATCTGCTTCTGTGCTGATAGAGCCACATCACAGCTCCCCAGAGCTCCATTGGAGACCCTCCATTTGGAACATGGCAAGTGCTGCAAGGTAAGTGCTGCTGCTAAAAGCAGTGGTTTGAGCTGTTACAGCTGCCTCTCTTCAGTGGTTATTCCACATAAGTCTGTGAAAGCATTGCTGAGTCTCAACAAGGAATTTAATTGAAATATTAAGGCATTTAGTTGTCATTTCAGAAGGTTCAATCATTGCTTTTGGCTGTTTTTCAGCCAAAGCTGCTGAGGTCTTTTGTGGAGGCTTTCTATTTATTCCTTTCTTTTCAGTACACCCAAAGAAAGAGAGGCAAGTCTGTGATTTGGTGTAGAGACAGCCCAGCACAAAGGAAAACCAGCATTCCTCTTGCCATCTGAATTCCAGTGTCAGTGGATATCCTGAAGAACCAAACCACATCATTGAGCTTTAACATCTTTATGAGAAAGGTGGCACTGCTGACCTCTCCCTCACTGCCTCAAAAACTGTGCCCAGGGATTTATTATTCCTGTGATGATTTGTGTGCTCCATTTCCCCCGTTTTCTCAGGTTTTTTCACTCTTTTCATCCTGCCCAGAATGACCAGAACTGAGTTGATTTGCTGGGTGGATTATTGTTCCTTTTCAAGGAGCATTGCTATTTTGTTCCTTTTTGTCCACTGCTTTGGCCCCATGACATTTTTTGGGCAGGAAGAGGGGAGGCAATGAGAGGGTTATATCTTGAACAATTTCACCCTGGTGGAAAATACCAATAACTTAAAATAAATATGCTCACTGAGATATCACATTATCCTGCTGAGCTCATGTACAGAAGAGATAAAATGGCTTTTTTAGAACGGATTTTTCTTTCTCCACCAGCTGAATGGAATATCAAAATACACAATTTAAAGTAACTGTTAGAAAAAAGGTTACACACGATGCTATCAACAGAAGGGAGCTGAAAATTAAATGGAAATGATTACCAAAGAACTCATTTCCTTTGCTACTGGGAGGCTAACAGCAATAATAAAATAGAATTTAGAAGTGAAAGCTGAGATTCTTCCTTTGATGTCTGAATATTTTCAGTTTATGTTCCTTTAAAATAAAAGGCCACATCGTAAATTAAATGTGATACTTAATTTTTATTTTCTCTCCACTCAAGCAGCATGTTTTCCTCTAGGTGATTATTAAAATAATGATTCACCTCCCCAGCTGCTGTGTACTGGCAGGTTTTTGTTTAGGCAGAGGAGCAGCATGAATTGGGAGATTGCTGGGTCCCAGACAGGCAGAATCCAGTTGACTCTTGGAACAGAGATTAAGGGTTGGTTTTTTTAAAATTCAACCTGTGAAAATGCAGAATGAGAAAGAGCTGATGCCCTTGAGCTTAATTGTAACTGAGCACCTCCTGTGATGGAATCACAGAATGGTTTGGGTGGAAAAGGACCTTAAAGCCCATTTCATTCCACCCGTGCCATGGGCAGGGACACCTTCCACCATCCCAGGGTGCTCCAAGCCCTGTCCAGCCTGGCCTGGGAACTTCCAGGGATCCAGGGGCAGCCACAGCTGCTCTGGGCACCCTGTGCCAGGGCCTCACCACCATCTGAGTAAAAAAAAATAAAAATTTCTTTACATCTGATCTAAATCTACCTTCTTTCAGCTTAAAAGTGTTTCCCTTCAAGAGCAAAGACAGTTCTCAAAAGTACTGAGCTTGGTGTCTCTCTCATTATCACTGCTTTAGTATGGGAGCAGGGAACATGCTTGCCAGTGAAAATGGGAATGCTGTGCCCTCACATCCCCCTAAATGAGGATGGACCAGGAGGAGGGAGGATTTCCTTCAGGAAGTTTCTTTAGCAACTGCAGAAAACATGTGGATTGCTAACTTTTGATGTTTCTTCTGACAAGACTTGACTGGTTGAGTGCAGGTGCCTGCTGGAGGGTGAACTCCAGGCCTGACTCCACTGCTTACAGAGAGGTGGCCATGGCTGTTGGGGGTATTTGGGGGAAATAGGGCTGTGGGGTAAGTCACAGGTTGTAGGGCAGACACATATGTAGGAAAAGTCCTCCACGATAACCCAGGGTGTCTCAGGGGTGCTACCTGACTAAAAGCAAACAATTAAACTGCATTCCTCTACTATAGACAGCCTAATTACAATACTTGAACTGGGACATGAATCCAGATTCAAAGCAGAAATATTTGGATTTCTAGGGGAGATGTCAGAGCAGGAGTGGCAGCTCTGTGCTGCCTGGGAGGCCAGATCAGAGCCCTTCTGGTCTCAGGCTGTCCCATCCTCTGTAATCTCCAAAAGTTCTGTGCTTTGGCTACAAAAGCAACTCCAGGATGGTATTGATGGCTTTGAAGGAAAACAGTAGAGCTCTGACTGAAACCAATGGATGAAGGGAAGTGTTACATAACACTACACCAACCTATATCCCTCTTTTCTTCCTTACTTGCCTTTTCTGTGCTTGCTTCACCTTCCACAGCTCGATGCTGTTTTTCCCTTTGTTTTACATCTCATCTATTTTCCAATTCTATCTTTGTGTACATAAACACTGAGGTGATGTAGAAGATAAAGGACTCCAAAGTTCCTGTTACCAACAGTGGAATGGACCCCATTACAGCAGGTACAGTCACTGGGCTGCACCCACTGCCAGTTACAGAAGAGCTAAAAATACACTTACTTCCTGTATTTCACCAGCTCTGCTTGTGCTGTGATGGACCAGAGATAAAATTTCTGTGTAAGCAAGGTAGAAAATCTTCCTGAGCTCTCCACTGAGACCTCTGCAGGCTTCACACCACAAGACACACTTTGAGCCACACTCTGATGATCATCTGGTGGCAGCAGGTGATGTGGCATCCCTGGAGTGAGGGAGCAGGTAAGGTCCCAGCTGGGATCTCTAATGTGGGTTTTAGATGTCCAAGGTACAAAAAAATTACAAAGGGAGGAGCATTTCAACTACCAGGACCCCCTCTTTGGAGTTGTGTTGTTGGACAGGGAATTTTGGTGACCTCTGTACTGCAAGAGTGTCTTGTAACAACTGGGCAAAGTGGTCTTTCCTTTCAGCACAGGCTGCAAAGAGCGTGGTGGGGTGCAGGACAGAGCTTGATTTTCTCTTCTGAATGCTGAGGGGCTGTGAGACCAACCCAGCCCCTCTTGGAGTGCTGAAATCAGGGCTGTCATTGACAGGTGACTCCCACTCATCCTGATTTGGTGGATGCCAACAAGTAGGAATCCATACATCCATCAGGTGAGGCAGCAAGACTGAGAAAGGAGCATTTGGTTGCTGGGGGCTCTCAAAACCTGACTTGACGCAGGTGGTGCTGGAGGTCAGGCCCTGATGTTTGCTGGTGCCGTGGTCCTGCAGTAGTGCTGTGATCCCACAGGGCTCCAGAACAGGATTGAGCCTTCAGCAAACAAATAACCAAACCTGTCAAGCCCCATCTTCTGTGACAGTGTTCACAGGGGCCCGACGATGAGGGAAGAGATGAGGATCTGACTCCATGTTTCAGAAGGCTTGATTTATTATTTTATGATATATATTATATTAAAACTATACTAAAAGAATATAAGAAAGGATTTCATCAGAAGACTAGCTAAGAATAGAAAAAGAAAGAAGGAATGATAACAAAAGCTTGTGTCTCAGACAGAGTCTGAGCCAGCTGGGCTGTGATTGGCCATTAATTAGAAACAACCAAATGAGACCAATCCCAGATGCACCTGTTGCATCCCACAGCAGCAGATAACCATTGGTTACATTTTGTTCCTGAGGCCTCTCAGCTTCTCAGGAGAAAAAATCCTAAGGAAAGGATTTTTCCTAAAAGATGTCTGTGACAATCTACTATGCCATAAAATGAATATTTCATGGCGGAGGGGAGAGAAAAAAGAGAAATAAGGTGGAAATGGAGGTGCCAGGTTCAGGTAAGGCAAAGGAGCATCTCTGTGGGTACCTGGGCTCATTTCTGTGTGGGTGCTTTCAGCCCTCCCTGGCTGATATCTCTCAATCACTGTCACCACAGGAAAGCGTTTGCTGCTCCCCACGTCACTCTTCACACCCCCAGGCACAGCTGGGACACACAGTGAGCACATTTGTGGTGCACTGTACCCACCTCCCCCTGTCCCTGCCCCCATCCTCAGTGGGTTCATGGGGTTTTCAAGCTGAAGGTGCCTCGCACAGAGAAGCGGGTGCTGCTTCTTGTGGTTTGCATCAAAAGCTTCACACTAATCCTCATGCTGGGCCTGCTCTAGCAGTTACTCAAGCAGTTCCTTCACAAGTCATGCTTGTGGTTCTATGGGACCACAGCTGGAGTGCAGAGAGCCCTCCTTCTGATCAGAGAGGTGTTAAAACCTGTTTCTCTTCAGTGACTTAAGCACAAGAGGTGAACCAGCACCCTCCTCCATTAGTCTATGCTCTTGGGTTGTCCCTGCATTGGTGTCAAGACCAAAATGCTCTGCTGCAGCAAAGAGAACATCCCTAAAAGTCCTTCAGGGATACTGCCAGTCTTCAAATGCTTAGAGATGCAGTCTCTAGTCTGGATGAGGCTGGCCAGACTCCATCAGAGTCATGGACACACTCAGGCCCTCACGTGACTTGACTGACCCTCATTTGGGGGTCAAAGGAAGATGTCCTAAGTCACCCTCTTTTAATAAAAACCTCTGCACATCTCCTCTGCAACTCCTCTGAGATACCAGACCCCATTCAGAGCTGCGTCACCCTTTGGTAGTAAAAGGGAACATTTCACTCTCTTCCTGGGTACCTTTGCACAGCATCAAATCCTTGGTTTAGATATTGCCCTGTGGAGTAGTTACAGTTGTTCAAGTAGCTTGCTGCTGCTGTGTATTTATGGGTTAAAATTCCCCTGGGGAATGTTGCCCAGACAGCACAGAGCCATTTTAATGGCTTTTCTAAGCACCTCTGTTCTTTGTCCCTGTTGAATCACTTCAATGCCCATTTCCCAATTATACACAACATTTTATTAAACTGTACAAACAGCATCGGCATTTAAAAAATTCATGTTAACCGTTCTGATTAAACATGATGATCACCTCCACAAACTGTGAGCACAGCTGCCCCCTCCTGTATTTCACACAGCACAAACAAGGATTGCATCAGAGTCATTGGACTGAAACCCTTCTCAGGGTGTTCTGCTCTTCTTGTTGACTTCAGGCACTTCAGCCCCTGCTCCTGCTGGATTCTGTGCCTGCAGTCACTGCCAGTGATATCCCAGCACTGCCTGCAAGGCTGCACTCATCCTGTTGGGAGCTCCAAATTGACAGCCTGGACCAGCAGAACCAGGAAAGCACCTCTGAAGGGAACCTGATTTTGGGATAACTCACCTGCCAGAGCTTTTCTTCTCCATGGACTGGAGGCTGATGCAACAAAGCTCCAAATGAATGTTCTTCAAATAGATCCCAACACCAACTGGAGAGACTGCCTAAGCCCAAGTTGTTACAAAATCTTCTTTTTAGGCTCTGACTTGATTTTGACCCAGCTTTGCACAGGTATCTCAGTGACAAGCAGTAACTGGGTGGTTTCACACATCTCCAACCTCAGAAAACAGTGCACCCTTTATTTAAAAGGATCCCATGATGAAAGGATCATGGAAAATACTTTTTTTTTAAACCCACCCACATTCCCACAGACTGCAAAGGGATAGCACACACAGCAAAATGTCACAAGGTGGGGGTGAGGGCCACCCTCACCTGATGTGCCTCCTTCCCTGTGACCATCCTGTGCAGCTCATTGACCTGTGCCCAAGAGCTGGGACATCATTTAGAGAAATAGAAAGTAAATCAGCCTTTGCAGGACCAGTTAGCACCTTTCTACTTAAATACCCCAATTCTGTGACTGGAAGGCCACTTTTGCAATGCTTAAACAATGGTTTGAGGAAACATTGCATTTTTCTTATGTGGTTTTAGGGTAAAATGTCAGAAAGCCCCACTAGGGTCCTGCCCTGAGTCTGATGTGTCAGAAGACACTTAAAGCTTTAGAACAGGGTTCTTGAAACATTCTGCAACTTCCCATCCTTCCTGCTCAGGCACTAAGTGTGAACCTCTGGTTTTCTGTACCAATCTTGGCACTCCCTTTGGTAACGATCCATTGAGATGTGGAATAGGCACCTGAAAAAAGTCTCTTTGTCCCATGGAGAAAAATTGAGTCCTAACACATGTGAAAAGCATTTTTAAAGGGTGTAGGAAGCAAATTTCTTTCTTCAAAGCTGTGCACACTTTGGCAATTCTGCACATGTGCAAGTGGAAGTTACCAAAGCATCCAACCTGAGTCTTCCCTGATACCCTCAGGCCTTGAGCAAACCACTTTTCCTTCAGAAGAAGGTGGGTCTGGGTCACAGTTGCAGAAGTGGGCACTGACATCACCAGAATGCTCAAATACTCATTTTTCCTTACAGGGAAACCTGTTGGGTGGGTGTACAAGTAGTGGGGAACAGGTTTTGGCACCTCCTCATTTTCAAATGCCTTCTATTTCAAGAACATTGGGAAGAGAGAGAAGAGAGACCAAAAAATACCACAAAGAAACTTTATCATCAATGAAGAGTGGGCTGGCATCTGCTATGGCCTGGAAAAAGTCAGAAGCCTCCAGGCATGGTACAAACTTTCACTGAGGTGGTTTCTTTCTGGAGGGTTCTTGATAAAAACAACCATGCACAGTCTTCAGCTGACAAAGTGCTACTCAAATCATTACAGAGAATTCCTTCAGTAAGGCAGATCTCAGGAAAATATTTTCTCCATTTTAGGGTTCACAAAAGAGAAGTTGCTGAACATATTTTGGTCCATGCTGTTAATCAGTGCTCTGTCAGCACAGGACAGTCTGGGTTTTTCATTTAGGAATTCCTTGTCGAAGTTGCTACAGTCACTTGGAGATTTCTTCAAGAAAAGGAAAAAAAAAGATATGTCAAACCACTAATAGTCAGATCTTTATTCCCATGGTACTGGCCCTATCAGGCTGCTTCCTATGGGCTCAGCTCAACCTTCAGCTGGGAGCCAGTAAATATAAATATTATAAAGGAGGCACTGAGCCTGTGATCCAGGAATTCTGCCAGGCAGGGATGTTACAGCTTTGTAACATGGCAGACTGAACTCACCAATTGCATAACAGTTGTGGAAGACTGTAAAATGAAAGTATGATGTGCTTGTCAAATTAAATTCTATTATTGTTATTAGCAGGACTTTAATAATTTAACAAGACTGTTATTAATAGTCAGGATTATTCTGATGTAGCCAAACACTTGGTTCCTGAACTGTTTTACCTTCTGCAGTGCAACAAAAGGCAATCCCTGTTGTGGTTCTATTTCTAGAGTCCCATACTGTTGTTATCAGATTTCTAAAGTCCCATACCTCCTTGGTGTGTTCTCATGGCTGTGGATCTTCACAGCACAGACTCCTTCTTCTGCATGTTGCTCTTTCTTAGTTCAGAGCTCCTTCAAGGCTCTCCCTGAATGGCTAACCCACCCCCTTTTATCCCAGTTATCTTCATTGGTCACAGCTGCAGCCCAGTTAAGCACATCACAGCTGCAGCCCATCAAGGACAATTGGGACCTCCTGAGGCAAAGCCTCTATACAGATATTCAAGTCCAATACATGCATTTTGCTAGGACTCAAAGGCCACCTCTACTATAAATCCCTTCAGAATGGGCTGCAGTTCTGAGGTGAAGGGAAGGTGTTACCCTGCTGCAGTAACTGGGAAAGCAATGAGTAATTTATGGTTTCCCAGGTGTTGGCATGTCAGACCTGGGCTCGCAGCCACCACCAAGCAGTACTGTGAGGATCAGCCAGTAGAAATGCACAGTTTAGAAGACCTGAGATGGGTGGAAGTGAAAGAAGATCCATCCTTACCACTCTTGGTTTGAAAGGAGGCTCCATCCTTCTCTCTTCCAAAGCTTCCCAGTTGATCTCCCGGAAGAATGCGTGCTGGCGGATGTTCCCTCTCGCCCCCAGTCTCCTCTCGGGCTCTCTTACAAAAAGCTGGAATGTTGATCCCATAGGTTAAACTCTCTGATGATAACACAGGCATAAAGCAGGGTGGAATGTGTAATTATCCAGAGTCAGTGCGATGAGAAGAGGCCGTAATGGAGAAAATGTTGGGATTTTTTTTTTTTTTCCTAAACAAGGAAGTTTACTGATTGGTATTAAGATGATTCCTACCTCTAATCCTGACAGAAGTACAGGCTGTTTGGGCAGAAAGATGGCAGCATGTGCCCCAAAAAGAGATGTTCAGCATCTCAGTCTGATGTAACCCTTAGTTTGAAGTATTTTTCCCAGGAGTTAATGAGCTTTGCACCTTAGGGACTGCTCTGCAAATAAGCTGATCTCTGCTGGTGTCTGTGAGGAGCCACCATCACAAATCAGGAGAAGAATACACCCAAATCTCCTTATGGGAGAGGTGTGGTACAGGAAAGACAAGGACTAAACTACATCTGTTCCTCTCTACAACAGCTGAAGATAAACAAACTGAAGACAGTAATTCTGGCAGAAAGGCTTTCATTTGATGGGCGGTGATTCTTACCTTCACCAAAATGTCCTTTGCATCCTTGTCCAGCCAGCGAGGGTAGAAGGGGTTGTCCATGCGGATGGACTGGAAAAGCTCCTCCTCATCTTGGCCATGGAAAGGGGATTGGCCAATGAGCATCTCGTACAGGAGGACACCAAAGGACCACCAGTCCACAGAGGTGTTGTACTTCTGCCCCAGCAGTATCTGCCCAGAAAGAGGAGCCACAAAGGCAGAAGTAAAATGTCTGACATGAGTTTTTCAACTTCAGGAAGGTGGCCAGAGCATGGCCTTGCAACAGCTGCTCTATCAGAAATGCTTCCCCCTGCCTGCAGCAGGAGCCAGAATTCTGCCAGTGGAAATCTGGAGCAACGAGGCACAGCCACACCTGGGTGCCAGAACAGTCCCTGGCACTACAGACAACAGGCTGCATCTAACTCTTACATTAATTGAACAAATCCTTGGCTACCAGAGAGATCTCAACTATAAAAGAGGACAGAAGTCATCTTTAGCCTGCTCTCCAAGGGTTCAAATCAGGCTTGTGAAGTCCAAGAGGACAAATGGTCAGGAATCAGCATCTTGGGATTGATTCCGGTGACACAAGCTGAGTTTTAAAATTACAGATGTGGCAGCTTAAAGGTACTTCAGGACTATCAGTCACTTAAAAGGGTGTGACTCTACCCCAGCAAAATCTTCCCCAGGAAAAACATGAAAGGGGTTGCTGATCTGTCCTCTTGAGAGACCAACTGGGTTTAGATGGAGGAATGGGAATTTGTCCTCAGTCAGTCCCATGGTTTGTGCCTTTCAGTGTTACTTATAAAGTGACATCCAGCTGGAATGATGACTTTTCCAGGGTCTAAAGGACCATCACCAAGTTCTCAAACTTCCTCTCTGGAGAAGCAAAATTAATCTCACCTGCCTTTAGACATCTGTTGTGGAGATATCTAGAGCTGGACCACTTATCACTAGCTCCTTTTATAGCCAAGGAAGGAAATTCCAGTTTTAAACATCTAATTAAATATCCACCTGCTGTAAAATAAAACCCCTGTTTGTCTCCTTTGGCTCTCAAAGAGCCTCAAAAACTTGCTCATATATAGATTTTTACATTGCAGATACCTAAGGGTTCACATGATGACTGTGGCGTGTAGGATCCTTAGCAGAAGTTTAGATCTGTAGAGGGGAAAATTTAATTTTGAAGCACAATCTTTACTCTTGAGCCCATGTTTTGGTTGCAATGGGATGCTCTATACTCCATCTGTCTCCAGAAGAGGAGATGCCAAAAGGACTAAAAATAGATTTGAATATATGCTGTAATATATACAATGAGCTGTAATATATACAATATGCTGTAATATATATAATTCCACTCAGAGCAAAAAAAAAAAAATCAGCAAGACCCCTTAATATATTTTTTCTGGATCATTTACAAACAAAATCATCCTAACCTTTCCTTCTGAAAAAAGAAATTATTTTTATAAGGCTTTATCTTTAAAAGTCTAAAGTATCTGGAAATTGAAATTGAAGTGTTTTGTGGCACTCAGAAATAAAAAGGTTTATTTTGTTTGAAATTCTCTGGGACAAAAATAAACTCATTAATTTAATTTCAGGCTGTCTTTTTTCTGGTCAGATTTTTTTGAAATGAAAAAAATTGCTTGTCTACTGACCCATACCTCCCTTATTTGCATGGCTGTGGCCAAGGTGCTGGGTCTGTAAAAAATTACAGTGGCAGCAGCTGCAGTGAAATACTGAGAGAGTCCAGTGCTCCTGCCTGTGGCAGGAGAGATGATCCATAAACTCCAGAAGTGCTTTCAATATAGAGATAAAATGTTTTACAGGCACTCATTGAATCCCTAAAATAAACATAGCGTAGAAATAAAACTCTGAGCTATTTCAGTTTTTTCTATAAAATAAAATCACAGAGAATGGATCAACTCTTGGCTATTTTTTTTTTTTTAGGAGCAAAAAAAAGCTTGATTGCAGAGCACACTTACACTCATTCTTAGGCAACAGAAATCCAATTGATTTGAAGAGACCCTCGAGCCAGCAGTGGTGTAACCTCAGCCAGGCTCGAGCCCTTAGTGCACAGTGAAGGACCAATGAATTACAGCAGAGGGGAAAAAACCCCTAAAGGCTTTGACAACTCTTTGGAAAATACCAATATCCATCATGAAAACACGAAAATTACAAAATGGGATCTTGAAAGGCAAATAAATGGATTTCAGACCGATGTCAGACATGATGCATGGATGACTTGTAGGTTTTTCTCTGAGCTAAAAAAATATTTTCTTTGTCCACCTAATTAGTCAAAGCCTCTCCATAGTAAGATCTATCATTGTGTGAAGTCATCAAGTTAAGAAAACTTTCTCTTTTCTGGAGACATCTAGTTCAAAACACCTAAATTTTCTAGGGGAAAAAAAGAGAACAAGTTTCTGTCTGGTTAAAAATTGAAATAAGGGAAAGGGCACAGTCAGCATTCCTCAGGCTGTGTCTGTCCCTCAGTTGTAGGACCTCTTGGAGTTTCTTCTGCCATGGTCCAAAAAGAATTTCCATTAAGCATTCTCTTTCTTGGTTTAAGCCAAGTTCCACTTGCACCAAAAAATGAATTAGCCACAAAAATAAGCAATGCCAAACAGCAACACAGATTCTGAGCTGTGCTGAAATCCAGTTTTTGGCCTGGAACTGCTCCAAACCAGGTTATTACTCTTTGTAACCTCCACCACTGCACAACAGTCACTTCTGGAGATGTTTCCTGCCCACAGAACTCCCTGTGCCCCACACCTACCTCAGGGGCAATATAGTCAGGAGTCCCACAGAAAGTGCTTGTCTTTGCATCTCCAAACATGTTCTCCTTGCACATCCCAAAGTCAGCAATTTTGATGTGCCCCTCATTGTCCAGGAGGACATTGTCCAGCTTCAAGTCTCTGTGGAGGAAGAGAAGGAAACAATTTCTTCAAAGTGTGAAGCACACTAGTTATTTTAGCAGGTTACACCTATTGCACTCATTCTCTGCCTCTGTGCAGTGCCTACATGCTGGAAATACAAAGGAAGGCTGAGGGACAAATGAGGAACTGCTCTCTTGGGTCTCAGCATCCCTCTTCTGCATTTCTCTTGTTGCAGCACTGATTTATCTGCTGGAGAGGACACAGAATCATGAAATCTCAGAATGGTTTGATTTGGAAGGGACCTTAAAAATCCCTGAGTTCCAATCCCCTGCCATGGGCAGGGACAGCTTCCACTATCCCAGGTTGCTCCAAACCCCATCCAACCTGGCCTTGGACACTTCCAAGGATCACATCACCCAAGACATCTTCTAAAAGCTGTTTCCTTCAAGGATACACAATAATGAAGCTAAGAAGGGCTTTGTGCCAGCTGCTGCTTCTGCCCTAACACAACCTGGAGAATGAGAGCAGCTAATTCTCACTCTCTCCTCCCCTGGGAATCTCAATATTCTCTCTGAAGCTGCTGCCTTGCAGTGCAGACTCTACAAATGCCACAAGAGGTAAGAACCCACAAGCCCTGCAGAGGGTCAGAATAACCCCAGAATAATCCCAGAATAATCCCAGAATAATCCCAGAATAATCTCAGAGCCCCCACCACTGCTGGGCTGCACCATCTGAACCCCAGGATTTACAAAGCCTTTCACACTCAGCTGCTAAACTGTTGTCTGAGTTTTCAGGCTCTGAGCTACTCTGGGAAGCAAAGAGCCCAGAGAGAGGAAGAAAACAGAAATGGACAGAGAAGGAAATACAAGCAAACAAGCTGATGAATCATGACCATCGGTGGAGAACAAAGAGGTCCTCAAGTGGGAACTAACTCTGAAAGGAGAGAAAAATTTTAAAGTAAAAGAGGCAGAAAGAAAGGAAGGCTGGCATGGTTTCCATGTTAATCTTAAATCTTTCCTAAAGGTTTTGTTTTGATTTGAGATAATGACCCAGGTAAAATTTTGGATCAGTGATGCTGCACTTAAGTGAGGATGTGGGTAGAATTTGGGTCACCTGTGGTCTATGAGCACAGACATTCCTGCACTGCCTGGTTTGTGCTAGCAATCACTGCTCCTTCTCAGGGCTCCCAAAGCACCCAGACACATTTGTGTGTCTTATAATATATAAAAATAATAAATAAATAATAAACATTATTGTATGTTAATATAATATATAAAAATAATAAATAAAAATAACAATTACACCCACAGCTGAGGGTGTGTTATTTTTCCCGCTAATTCATGGCCTACACATATTTTGGCCAAAAGGCTAAGCTGGATGGGGCCTGATCCTGTGGATGGCATCCCTGCCCATGGTGAGGGGGCTGGTGATCTTTAGGGTTGCTTCCAACCCAAACCACTCTGGGAATCTGTGATTCTGTGATTTTCCACATCTCAGGCAAGAGGCCTAACAATGAGGCTATTGCAGGGACACCCTCCCTCTGACAACTGCTTTACAACGTGGGGTTTTTTCAGAAATGTTCCTCAAAGAAGGTAATTTCCAGTGCTTGATGCTCCTGGGATAATGGCCTGAAATTGCAGGGAAGATGATTCTTCAGAATCCCTCTGTGCAAAGCTCCTTGTCCTGCTTGGGCCAGGTCCCCATCAGGGTGAGGGACATTGCAGTGTTTACACACTAAATTGTTGTCATGGGGCAATTGTTCACCACTGCAAGAATATGGCCCCAGACAAAATGGGAGTCATCAATCAAAGAGAAATACAGAGAAAACTGAGAGACATTTGCCTTCTAAGTGGCAGACACTCATGTTGTCACAATTTCCAGCTGGAATGACTTATTTTAGTTACAACGTTGAGATCAATCTCGGGCTGCCAGCACTGCTTTTATTCATCTGGTAGATCGAAGCAAAACAAAAAAAACCCATCACCTACAGTTCCCTTTCATTATTTTGATGAGTCTCAAACTCATTGGCTCCAGGGACTGGAGTTTCTGCCAAAAAACACCTCGGCTCATTCGTTAAAATTTAAGCCAATGTTTCCAAACGTGGGTGCCTGAGACAGAACAGCTGGATTCATTATTCTTACAACATCACAAGAGATGTAGCTTCAAAAATTATTTCTGTTCACTTTCCTAAGTGCTTAGTTTGCTCTGACAGAGACACTGATGATTCTGTGTTCTCAGCTGACCTTGTTGTCATTGTTTTCAGTGAAAAAGGGAAGAGAGTAGGACTGGTTAAACCTTTTCTCTCAATGCTCGATACCCAAAGCAATATCACCAACTCCTGGGAATGAGATATTTTTCCTATCCACATGCTACCAGTGCCCAGATGTGCCAATTTTCCCTCAATTCCCAAGGCTCCAGACTCTGAGCACCCCTCTCCTTTCAGGAGGAATTGGGTCCCAAACCCCATTTGGGACACAGCACTGGCACAGTGATTCCAAATAAAAATGTGAATTACAGATAAAATGTCAACATTAGCTCTGCCATAAAGTCACCATGTCCTGCAGATATTTTTAATCAGATTTTCTGAGAAGACTGACTAAAAATAACAGACATGGCCAAGTGATTTGTGCACTTCAGAAATTTTTTCCCTTCACTCATGGAGAATAATAATTAGAGACAGAAAAGTTGCTGAGGCCCCAGAGATCATCTTAGCTTAATGCCACTGATATTGATCTCATGTTTATGCAATCACCATCACTGGTCAATAAAGACTATAAATGGCTCCCACATGAGTACTAATAAGAATCAAAACTCGTGTTTTAAAGGGAAAATGGATTGTGAGCAAGTCATCCACTTTCAGCATTTGCTCTAATGTTCATGCTACATGACAAACACTGAAATGAGCTCATTTTGGGCTCAGCAAAACATCATTGCTGTAGGGAGCTTGCTCATTTATTTGTGACAAGTTATTTGTTTTCTGCTTTAAAGAAGGCTGCAATGTAGTAACTGAATTTTGCCACGAAGTTGAGCTTCACCAGAACTCCCCAGAAATTCAGTTCCTCCTTTTGGCCATGGGAAATCAGACTGTGGCCTAATTTCTGGTAGAACTGGGCACTTCCCATACACATTTTAACACAGGCCTGATGAACCTAAAAATTCCCTCTGCTCTCTGCTTACTACAAGAGGAACTTAACAGACAACTCAGATTCATGATGGTGAGATGAATCTCATCTCCCTACTGTGCACAAAATTAATCCAAAATTAAGATATATCACTGTCTCCCTGCTTTTGTTACTTGGGTTGAGCTTGTCACCACTGTCCCAAGGTAACCAGCACAGCAGATGTACCAAATTTCCTGTGTCTGACTTGACCTTGATATGTTGAAAGCTTAAATCAGGTGCCTACAGTGGGTGCTGTGTGAATAGCTCTATAAATGCAAAATGTAAAAAATAAATCCCAGGGTTTGTTTTAATGTTAACTGAAATAGAACTGGATTCTGAAAGAAGGATCAAAACTGCCTTTTATACAGTCTCTCTTCAAAATAAAACACCCAAATTATGTAGAAGGGAAATCTGCAGGGAGTTGCAATGCCAGTAAGTACAGCCAAGGAACAGCCTCTCTGCTGCCATTGGTGCTTGCAGGGAAAGGCAGAAAAGGTTTAGCATTTAGAATATTAATTACACTAAAGGGTTAAATTACCTGTATATGATGCCCTTGGAGTGGAGGAACTGGAGCCCACAAATGATTTCAGCAGCATAAAACCTGGATGACAGAAGGCACAGGTCAGAGCAGGAGCTTCCCAAAGGTTTTTACAACTAAACCCAAAAAGAGGGAAACCTTGTCCCCACAAGAGCCAAAATTTTATGATGTTCCCAGAAGGTTTGGAGTGTCTCCAGAAGGCTTGGGGTGATTGTGTTTTACTGATGGGTGACGTGGGATTCCGAAAAGCAGGGGGGAATCTGGGATGGGGAGCACAGACAGACTCCCTGCCCAGATTTATGACCTGCTTTTCAAATGAATCCTGGAATTCTGGAATTATTTAGGCTGGAAAACCCCTCTAGCATCAAGTCCAACCATTAACCCAGCACTGCCAAAACCACCACAAAAAACCACATCCCCAAGTGCCACATCCACATTTCTTGAACACTCCCAGGGACAGTGATCCCACCACTTCCCTGGACAGCCTGTTCCAATGACTGACCGCGCTTTCAGGGAAGAAATTTTTTTCTGATTTTGAAAGCTTATCCATAATATGGGCTATCCAGCAGGCTGGTGGCCTTTCTCTGGAGTTTTTTTTTGAGCTTGAAGTTGTTGTTCTCAGCACATTTTGACCCAAAGGTCAAAGAGGCAGCATCAGTGTGAAGAATGAAAGTGCTGTCCCAGAAGGGAATGAAACCAGAGGATCATATCCCCCTCCAGTGTGGCCCAGCTCTGCTCCCTCAGTCTTCAATGCATTGGCCCTTAATTCTGGACATTCAAATGCATTTGAAAAATATCATGAAACACTGATTTAAAAGACGGTGTGGGTTTTTTATTATTAAATTATTAAATAAACGTAATTCCTATAGTGGTTTAAACATTGACTCTCAAAATACCTTTTGCTTGCAGAAGGATCAAAAGCACCTTTCATTTATTCTAATTCTTCTATTTACTTTAATCAAAACTAAATACATATTTAATTCTCTGCTGGTATATTAATTTTTTGTTTAAATTTACCTTTTGTGCTTTTGATAGGTTTTCACCCCATCCCTTTGAACTTTAAGGGGGAAAAAAAGGAAAATCCCATTACTTCTAACAAACAACAGCTTCATCTCTGACCACTGGGCTGGGAACCTCAGCTTAAGCAGGTCCTGCAGCTTGGCTACAGAGTGTTGTAAAGAAGCAAGGTCATGTCTGAGTGAAGCCAACTGTGTGGATGGAGTCTAGAAGTCTTCTGTGGGAGGGAAAAGAGGATGGGAAGTGACTCACTCCAGTCCCTCACTGAGCTGGGAGGATGTCCTGCATGGTTTTGTTGGGTTTGGAGACAGCTGGGATAGAGAGGCTTCCAGCACAAGCATCATCCCCACTTTTCAGCTGGGCAAGGTGAAGAGAGGTCAAATAATCTGCCCAGGATTTCCTCTGCAGGGCAGTGGCAGAGCTGGGAATGAAATCAGGTCAGGCCCAAAGGCAATGGTAAATGTCTTACGTTGCTCTGGGGAGGTCGAACTTGTGGCAGCTCTGGATGTGGAACATGAGGTCTCCTCCATTGAGGTATTCCATCACAAAAAAGAGGTTTTCCTAGGGAAGGAGACAAGGTGAGAATAAATAAAGGGTGCTGAGGAGCAAGGTAAAAGTTTAAATATTTAAAAAAAAAAAAATCAAACTGCTCAGAAAGCACTCAAAAAGAGGAAGGAAAGTGTTACTGTGAGGGTTTTGGAAAGAAAGCAGCTCCTTTTTTAGATTCCTCATTTCTCCTCTTGGTTCCCTAAGCCCATACTCACACTCCCTGCTCTGATTTCTATAAACACCATTAGCAAACACTGCAAAGCCACTTCACAACCAGCTGGGGCTTTTTTACCAGCAGAGCTCCAGGCTCACAGGAAGGGGTCGGTGACTTCACAGTGCCTGTACAGCAGAAGGACAGATGGACAAGCCTCTAGTGGAAAAGGCAAAAATCCCTCCCAGCTCTCCTCTGGTCCCCATCCCAGTTCAGTCCCCATCCAGTGGAGTGACTTCAAGCTGGTGTCACCTGCATTCCTGCACAGCTTCTGTGGAGGCACCTGGGTCTGACTTTTTCAAGTCATCACAGACATCAGCCAGACACAGCAATTTGTTTTAAGCACATGCTTGATTTTAACCCTGAAAGCTGCTCTATGTAACTTGCTGGTGGGGAAAGTAATGAGTTAATCATATTCCTAGATACCCATTGAGTACCTGCATGGTCGAGTTCTTGTCCCCAGTTGCAAGCAACCATCAGTTGTTCAACCAGGGCAGTGAAAAACTCTACTCCTGGCACATAGGAATTATAGAATCTCTCTCTATATAAAAAGCAGAACTGATCACTGAGGTTTCTTTTCCAGTCCTTGATACAGAATCATGGAATCACTGAATGGTTTGGGTGGGAAGGGACCTTAAAGACCCCTAAAGTTCCAACCCCCTCTAGACCAGCCCACTAGCCCACACCTCCCACTGGACCAGGTTGCTCATGTACACGACACTGATCCTCTCACAGCTTCATCAGCCAAAACTCACCACCAGAACCCTGCAGAAGCTGGCATGGAGTGATCCTTTCCACACTGAATTGTCTCTACAGAGCAGAAAGGACACCTTTTTTCTGAAGGAAAAGGATCTGCACACTGAGCTATGGTCCAAGTTTAAACTTCTGTTTTGGGAATCTCACCTTTTGTGCAAAAATGCAGGAATAAAACAAAATGGATGTGGTATTTTTCCCCTCAAAAGCCTCTCTCTGTTCTGTGCACACCTGAAGTCAGTCATCTCTAGGCTATGCTATAAAGTTTATGAATATTTTCCTTGTGTTGCCTATTGCCCATTACATTTTTTCTGGGGGGGGAAATAAAGTTATTTTCAGTTATATTTTTAACAGTTGAAGGTTTTTATCCATAAGATCTAATGTAAGTATCTCTGGCAGCAAGCCAAGAGCTGGCTATGTTAAAAAACCACAAAAGTGCTTGTTCCTTTCAAACAACAGCTGTCTGCTCTAATTTGTGCAATTTCTTTAGCCAGATCCTCTTAATTACAGCACTCTTATTTAAATGGACTCACTGGAAACCCCACCTGTCATCCAACAAGCTCAAAGCCAGAACTGGCCTCCTGGGGAAAGAATACAAATTCCATCACTAAACCAAATGGGCGCAGGTTTTCAGTGTTTCTTGCAGCTGCAGGGGGCTGTGCACATAAATGAGTTTCAGCAAGCAAAAAAGGCCAGAGGAAGGTGGGAAATTTAGTGAAGAAATGTATAAATCTTGGAAGCAACGTGAGCTCAGCAGCCCATTCAGGAAAATACTTGAACAGATGCTCTTTGGGAAGGTACACAGGGAGGTGATGGGGTTTAGCCAACAACACACCAGCAACCACGTGTGTCCTGCTGGGACTGAAGAAACCTCATGGGTCTTGAAATGGGCCAGACTCAGCTTCAGTGGGCTGGGAAGGAGAAAACCTCTCAGTTCTCCTGCAAAGTCCACTGATTTTGGCTACATCTGTAACTGTAACCTGAAATCCACGTTTATCCAGTAGAATGAGCAGTCATGCTCTGCTTGTTCATGGAACTTGAGCAACCATCTGATGTATCTGTTTAACTGAACCCAGGGACTCTGACTGGAAACTGGGGACTCTGGCAGCATCCTTGAGGGAAGAAAAGGTGGAGCAACCCCTCAGATTAATTTACATCCACATACACAAACCCTGTTGCTCCTTAAGCTATGGAGCTGGAGAATACAAACTTAGGAATGTTTAGTACTGAAGTTTATGATATATCAGGTGCTATAGAGTGGTACTTAAATCCTGTTGAAAACAGTCAGGATCACTCTGGCTTTCCTGCTCTGGGGCTCAGAAGTTCCCCTTGCTTCTTAAGAAGTGCAGATTCCTGGAACAGCTCGTGGAGGAGAACTGGTTGACATCAGCCCTACGTCATTATGAGTGGTGAGGTGTAACCAAGAAAGGCCAAGTGCAACAACTTGCTGCAGTCAGCTTCCTAGCTCTGGGATCTGCAGAGCCACAGAAAACATTAAATATGGGAAGTGGCAAAACCCATTCTTGAAACCACCGAGAAGTCAAGGGAGAGCTGGAGGTCAAAGGGTCGGCGTGGTGCGGGGGACGTTCTTGCACACAGGCTCCGGCTTCACTTCCCCTTGTCCTGGGAAAGGTGGCTGGTGGCTCCTGCCTGCTGCTGGGAGGCTCTGGAGCCTGTCAGCACTTGGAGCAGGCAGGGGGGTTTTATCTGGTTGAAAATGTCCCTGCTCACTGCAGGGCAGCTGGACTAGATGACCTTTAAAGGTTCTTTCTAACCCAAACCATTCCCTGATTCTCAAGGCTCTGCCATGCCCTTATCCCCTGCAGTGGTCCTGTGTCACAGACATATTTTATGAAAAATCCTTTTGCTAGGATCCTTTCTCCTGAGAAGCTGAGAGGCCTGAAACGAAATGTAAACAACGATTATCTGCTGCTGTGGAATGCAACAGGTGGATCTGGGATTGGTCTCATGTGGTTGTTTTTAGTTAATGGCCAATCACTGTCCGGCTGTCTCGAACTTTCTTCGTCAGTCACAAGATTTTATTATCATTCCATTCCATTCCATTCCATTCCATTCCATTCCATTCCATTCCATTCCTTTCCTTTCTAGCTTTCTGATGAAATCCTTTCTTCTATTCTTTTAGTATAGTTTTAATATATCATTTTCTTTTTACATAATATACATCATAAAATAATAAATCAGCCTTCTGAAACATGGAGTCAAGATTCTCGTCTCTTCCCATGTTGGAGTTGCCTGCAAATTCAACAGTCCTGCCTGTGGGTGTTGAGCAAACAAGCAGGAATGCTGTTCCTCAGTGGTGAGACCCACACAGATCTGCAGGAGGCTTGGAAAGAGTGTCCTGCCCCTCTGCCCTGCAGGCAGGTGACAGATAACTTGCTGACCACTTGTAGGAGCATCCCTGGGTAGCAAATGCTCAAGCCAAACTTTTGGTCATGGTTCTGGACTCACACAACAGAAAAATTTTGGTCTCATTGCAGACTTCATGACCATTTTTAGTGACCACAGACCTCAAGGAGGATTGTAAAGGCCCTTCCTGCACTCAGGGATGGACACTGCACCAGGGTAGTTATAAAATCATAGAAATTCTGAGCTGGAAGCGACCAACAAGGATCATCAAAGTCCAACTCCTGGCCCTGCACAGGACACCCCTGAGAATCACACTATGTGTCTGAGAGCATTGTCCAAAGATTTCCTGATGTATTTAACACCAGTTGTCTTAAGAATATCTGCAGGGGCATAGAATATAAGAAAATAAAGACAGTGTAGAAAGCAATCTTACCCCTAAGGAGCTGCAGCCAGGCCAATTATCAAAGATTAGGAACAGGCCTGACTTTAACAGGCCACAGCTGTGACCAGTGAGAAGAAGAGTGCTATAAAAGAGTGGGGTGCCTGGGTGAGAAGGGCACTGGAGTCAGTTGGGTGCTTTGTGAAGGAGAAAGAGTCAGTGCTCTGAGGAGCTGCCCATGAGGAACACCAAGGAGATGTGAAACTTTTTTCATAGGAGGCAACAGAATGGAACCCTTGCAATAAGATGACAACAAATATCCATGTATCAGTGTTCCAGATTGCAATGCAAGATGTTTTCTATTGCCATCTCTATGGCAGATTATCTTTTGTCAAGTGGGCAGTTTGCCTTATCTCTCTCTCTGAGTGACCCCACTCCTCCCTCAGGAGGGGCTATCTGCTGATAACAGCCATTGAATGTCACTGCATGGCTGATAAGAACTACAGCATCCCATTGGAGATGTGGGCCCAGAGGGAGGAGCCAAGCATTCCTACCTGGATATAATCTGGAGATTCTGGAACACCAGCACAGCTTCTCCACTGGATTGCCCAGAGGAACAGCAGCTGCCTCTCCTTCCACTGGATCTTCAGAGGAAGAGACTGCACCCTTCTACAGGATCCCTGCTCCAGCAGAACCACCCCTGACACTGCAGGAGGGCTGCAGCCACAATTCCAATGGGACTGCTGCCAACACCCTGACCCACAGGGTGCCAGGCTGGGTTCTGACTCTGTCAGTGTTGTTCTAGTGTACTGCATTGTTTATTTTATCCTTTTTTTTCCCTTCCCTATTAAAGAACTGTTATTTCTTGCTCCCATATTTTTTGCCTGAGAGCCCCTTAATTTAAAATTTATAGCAATTTGGAGGGGTGGGGAGGGCTTACATTCTCAATTTCAGGCTCCTGCCTTCCTTAGCAGACAACTGTCCTTCCAAACCAAGACAATCAGCCATTCCCTACTTCGAGACCATCTCTCAGGGGCTTTCTCCACTGCAGCACTGGGAAGAGCACAAACCCTTCTGTGGGAGGGTGAAATGCTTCTCCTGCAGCAGACAGAGCCCTACAACACACAGACATGGCAGCAGTGTCCTGCACAACAAAACACAGCTCCTACACAAAATAACACTGCTCCCCAGCCCAGCCACTCCTGCCAGGTGCTGAGAGCCTGGATCACTGCAGGAACTCACTTTCCTGCCTTTTCAATCCCTCCGTGCCTGTGCTGAGCTCCTCCCCACAGAGCCACCTGC